CTGTAACTGTGTACGCACCACATATTTCCTGTCCTTACTATACACACTGTAACTGTGTACACACCACATATTTCCTGTCCTTACTATACAGTACATATTGTAACTGTGTACGCACCACATATTTCCTGTCCTTACTATACACACTGTAACTGTGTACACACCACATACTGTATTTCCTGTCCTTACTATAGACACTGTAACTGTGTACACACCACATATTTCCTGTCCTTACTACATGCATTGTTACTGTGTATGTACTGCATGTATCCTGTCCTTACTATACGCACTGTTATTGTGTACAGACTGCATGTTTCCTGTCCTTACTATACACATTGTAACTGCGTACGCACCACATATTTCCTGTCCTGTCCTTAATACTCAACATCAAACAAGCTTCTACTTCTGAAAGTACTTGGTGTATAAAGCCAAGTCTGACTGATTTAAAATTCACCATACATGAATTTAATGAATTTGAATTTGAAGATAAGAAGTGTCTAAAGTATGAAGTAACCTTGCCTGAGGGACACATGTTTATCACACCCCCCCCCCCCCCCCCCCACAATAAAGTATAATTAACTTCCATGTCTGCTGTCATGCAGAAACTTGCTGACCTGGACACGAATCGTGCTGCTGTTGAAAGCTTTCCGCAGTGCCTGTGTAAGGCCTTTTGGGAGGTTCTGTTTCAGTATGTTATCCAGACGGTTTCTCCTTGGGTGTACTGACAGAACTGCAAGTGAACAGTAGAATATGAGAGGAATAGACACCTAACATCACATGGACATCACATATTATAACACTCTACCCATGGAAGAATTCTGGTTAACGCTAAGGTCTTCAGTTAACCTTTGCCACAATGTGGCATCAGTCATTTAAAAAATGGATTATTTTGACATTGTATCTGTGCAAAACTATATTAACATTTGGAATGCAAGAAATACCTTACAAATGATAATGGTCTCCAATACCTGTTTTCAACCAGAAAGCCTCTGTAACGTTGCACTGCAGTGGAGAAACTTCAGTTGTAGAGGTACTACGAGCAGAAGTTGTGGTTAGTCTAAATGCTGGGATCTTGAGCGTTTGGGTAGCAGCAGCCACCGTTGTGGTCAGGGCAGTTGTTGATTGTTTGCCAAAGGCTCCGGTCTTTTCTGAAGTTGTCGTCTCAACCATGCTCATAGTCGTTTGACGGGCATTGCTCAGCTTTGTTGTGGTGATTGGGGTCCTTGGGACTCTTGTGGTTAAGGCCACGGTTGTGTTGGTTATTGTCATAAGCTGAGGCATGCCATTCGTGCCCTGAGTGGCCTTCATGACTGCTGCAGATGATGCCTTTCTGGACGTGCTTTTAACTTTCTCTGGTGCTGTAGCATTCCCTAATTGACCATCTAATGCACTAGTCACATTCTCTAGTGCATCTCTATCTCGAGGGGCTGCAGCTGTAGACAAGTCATCCCTTGATGACTCCTCTGTAATGAGAAAGGGAGTAACATTCACAGTGGCACCTACAGTGGACATCATGGTTCTGGATGAGAGCATGTCAGGCAGAATCTTAAAAGCAGATGATGTCAAACCTAAAGATACCGAAGGACTAGACATTGTCCCACCAGAAGTCAAATGAATCTGACTGGGGATACTGGTGAGTCATGAGTGGACGAGGAGGGTCTTGACCATAACGGTTTAGTTGCATGAGCTTGGAATGAGAGCACATGTGTTGGAGTGTCAAGCAAGGTCACAATGATGACATGAGCTTCACCAGATGATGTTTCTGAAGTGGGATGCTCTGTTTCCTTTCTTACTGATGAAAGGGAGACAGTTAATTGAAGGCTGAGGCTATGGACTCATCAGTTGATTCAAGAGACATAGTTGTGATTTTGACAGTGCAGTGTGTAAGGTAGTGGTGGGGCTCAAAGAAGTTCCTGCTTCCCTTTCCTTCTGTGGTTAATACTTGGATTGATGTAGAACTTCTTATAGGAGAAACAGAGTCAAGTCCACTTGTGGTGAATGGTGAAATACTCAATCCTAGATGCATGGACCAAAAGGCTTTGTTGTTGTTGCCTTTGCTGTTGAATTTATGTTGTCTATCACATCAGCCACTGAAAGTGTTCCAGGATCAGAAGACATGAAAGGCTCTGGTCTTGATGATGCTTGGTAAAAATTTCAAGTGGCCGAAAGACTTATTTTGATATGTCTGAGATATATATTCCTTACACTGCACCGTGGCACAAAATCATTTATTAATGTTAATTCAAGGAGAAGCAATAGGCATAATCTTCATTATACTTTGAGATTTTATTTTTGCATTTTGCACCGCAGTCTGCAGAATAAGGGGAAAAAAACGGCAAAAAAAAAAAAATTGCTTTGAAAATGGATTTTTTGGTAAATGTACATGCCTAAAGGAAATACATAACAACTGTGGGTCTTAGTTTGTTTTCAGTCTTATTTTGTTGACTACATTGTGAGTGTATCAAACCGTGAGCACCGAATCGTCTGTCAAACGGAATCATGGGTAGACTGTATCGTTAAACCCTTAAGAAAAAGGATGGAATATGCCACAGATGTGCTTGTGGACCCACTGTATGGGACCACTGAAGCCAATTCTAAGGTTACATCACTGACAGAAGTGGCATGAAAGGTATCATCAGAAAGAGATGGTGGCATAGAAGTTGCAACTGGATGTAGTCATTAATTATTCAGAGGGTTTCTTGATAGGAACTGTGTGCTTAATATGAAACAGTAATGTGCATTGCACAGCTTAGTCAAAATTAGTAATGGGGATGAGACAGGTCCTGATGTTTGCTCTGTGCTTGCAGCATCTTTCAGGGTGGGTGGAGAAGTGCTGGGAGAGATCATTTGTACATAGTTGCTGACCTCTGTCACTATCAGAGTGAAAGAAACAGATACTGTATGTACTGCAGATTTACCCGCCTTGTCTTTGCTGGATGAGAAATGGCCTAGTGTGCTTCCTTTATCTTTATGCTTTACAGAGTGTGTGGATTTTAGACTCCCTTGTGAATTTGCTGGTAGTGGTTTACAGCTGATGATGCTACATTCATTGCAGCTGACAGAACACAAACAAAAGTTCGGTAGGAAACAAAAGAAACTCCAGTAGCTTTAAATGGTGACCCATTGGAAGCTGTAGTAGAAAATTCTGTGGATTTTTGGGTATCTAAGGCACTTTTTAATAATGGTTGTCCAGTTAGTGTAGGCTGTGTCTCACTGGTTAAAGTTTTGGTAGAATGGCCCCCTGTCATATAATCTGAAACGGTGCGGGTATGGAGTACAGTGGATAAACTGGATTTGAATGAAATGTCAGATTTTAAAGAGAATTAAGTTTTTATAGCTACTGTTGGCAGACTTGCATTTGGGCAAGAGAGCAGCCACATGGTTAATGCTAGCGTGAACTTTGTTGCAGTTGAAGACGACGATGATGACGATGATGATGATAACAAAGAAGATGATAGTCAAGACGATGATGGTTGAGGATGATGACAATGATGGTGATGACGGAGACGATGACGACGACAATGGCAATGACAGTCTTGATATGAAGGATCAATGAAATAATGCATACTGTAATGATGCTGAGCAACTACTTTGGTTCTGGCTGTGGTACAGACACATATTGGTCATGCATGGTGGTAATCAAACCTGAGCTTGAAGAGAAGTTGCTGGTGGCAGCAGGTGCAGAGGAGAACGGCTCTGTTTCACTTTTGGGACTATTGGACCCATTGTTAGATATGATCGGAGAAGATTGAACTAAGGTCTGGGACTTTTTGCCTGAGCTGGCCATAAGAGTCAATATGGATGAGAACGCTGGCTGTACTCTTGTGCTGTCTGCTGCCCCTGGTGGACCTGTGTGAATTCCTGGAAAAGCATCCCCATCTCCCAGGAGCAATCGAGCGAATGGGTGCACAGAACCAGCCAAAGCCCCTGCCTCCTGTGAGGGGTTTGAGTAACCTGAGGTTCCTTCATCTGCAAGCAGGAAATAGCAGATTACTGGGGTCAGTTGGGGCCATTGAACCAATATGATCTGTGTTCTCAGGTCCTTAATTCCAGCAGATATATTAGAAAATGTAAAAGAAAACTGACTAATGACTACCTACCATTTGTCACAAGAATGTTTTTGTTTTATATATCATTCGGGGATTTTGTTCCAATATCACATACAATGTATAATACCCAGATAATGCAGTAAATACACTAATATGTAATACATTATAGGAAAAGTAGGGGAGAAGATTATCTAAGTAGAAACAATACAGTGAGGTTAATTTTCATAGACTGTTTAAATTATTTCTTATATCAATTAAATATTACATAAGAAGGTAAAACATTCCTTTCCAAAACATGAATTATCTAAAAATATTTTATCAATATCCACTCTAATGACATAAGGATGACACACAAAAATTGTCTGTTAATAAACAGAGATTAACAAACAGGAGATCAGTATTTCACTTGTGTTATTCATTCTTGTTCCTTCAGTAGTTCCTTAGTAGTCCCTTCAACAGTTCACAAAGGTTTACAGAATTAACTGATATAATAACAAATATAGTAACTGCTTGAGATAAAACACGCGCTACGATTTATTAATGATGAATTAACATGAGAGCAATACGTAAGTAAGACTTAATTTGTGGTTAATTAATAAATAAGTAATAGTATAATACTATATTTGTGCCCCATCAAGTAAAGTGTTACTGAGAAAACAAATCTGTAGCCCTAAGTAAGCGAAAACAAATGTGGAACGGCAAGTAAAACAAAACAAAGATGTAGCCCATGTAAGGCAAAACAAACATGGAACCACAAGCAAGAGAAAACAAAAATGTAGCCCCTAGTAAAAGAAAACAAATGTGAAACCACAAGTAAAAAATACATCTAATGGCAAATAAGAGTGAATAAACATGTAACCACAAGTAAGAGATTTTTGGTTTTGAGAATTACAAGGAGCTGCTTCCCTGTCGCATATTGCGATAACCTGAATCCTGAGGTCACCGAATATATTCCGTCATTGATGGAATATTTTTAACAATGACATAAAAATCTTAATTTTGAAAGATTAGAACACTGAGGGCGATCTACCGTAAATTTAAGTAATTCACACCACTGTCCAGGTGGTGGTGAGTATGCATATTAGCTATTGTCTAGTCTTGTCTTCAATCTCACATTCATGACCTCATTATTTTATACCGTTAAACTTGCTGACTCCACAAGTGTTGGAAGAGCCTGGAAAAAAGATAGAAGTAGTGGTACAAAAAATAATGGAAGTAGATTAAATTATTTTTGTACCTCGATCAATTACCTTTCATAAATTAATGACTACCTTTTTGCTTGTGTCGTCATATTTGTACACCGGAAATTGGATAACGATTTCACAGTGTCAGAGGTGAAACCGGCAAGTTTCACCCTGGGCATAGGCAATATTAGAAGTACATCGGTTATGGAACAAATTTTCTGATGCAGAAATATGCAGACACATACGAAAATATATTTAATATAACTGAAATACAACAATGATTCTGCCTGCTCGATTTTCCCTCCACTGCTTCTCTTTTCCCAGTTATCTAACTAGTTAGCGCCGGTGTTCTGTCGAGTTAGGCTACCGAAGTGCTAATTGATAGCCCTAACCGTAACCCTAAACCGTAACCGTAACCCTAAGGCCCTTACCCTAACCCCTAAAAACTAACCCTAATCCCAAAACGGTGGAACTGTACATGCGCGGAAAGGCTCGATAGCACGTCTAGATAGGTAGCTCAACTCGTCAGAACGCCGGTGCTTGTCGTCAACCATTCAACAAAGATTATCGCTATATGCAGGGGCGTTGCTAGAGATTTTGGGCCCCATGAAAGCATATCATATTAGGCCCCCCAGTCCAAACCAATCCAGTTATTTTCCTAATTTTTTACGGCCCCTGTCACTCAGGGGCCCTCGGAATCGTCCTAGCTTTCCTCCCCCTTACGGCGCCCCTGGCTATATGCTCCACTCAGTTGTTCTTAGTCGAGGGTAAAGTACTTACTCGTAGTGAACACAATACAGCAGGGAGAACAATCCACATTTTCCTCAGATAAGGAATGCGTGGGGACAAAATCCGGCTTTTACAATGTTATTTATATTCGTCAGACGAATAGCATGTTTCATTTCGTCATTGTCATGAAACGCATATTTAAATCACGTTTTTGTTTTAATTATTGTTACGCAAAAACCTTCGTCAACATATTCTCGTCAACATTTTTGTCAATGAAATTAACACTGGAGGCGATACCAGGTATCATGAGCAGGCGTGAGGGCGAGCAAACATGCAAACGCTAACTATGGAAACTACAATTTTATTGCCGTGAAATGTCTTTCGATGCAGTAAACGTTTTTCCTTAACTAATGAAACCTTTAAATGGGATTCTGTGAAACACCTTTAAATAAATCCCTCAGCTAAGGAGAAATTGATGGTATTGTTACGACCCTGTCCGTGAAAAAATTATGTGTGAGAAAGTCTAACGCAACCTCTTGCCCAACCCACATGTCAGAGTTTTATTTTTGGGATTTACAGTCAGATGCTATGCTGTCAACAATAACCTCCACACATCTGTCCAGTGATTTGGTTTTGGGAATTACAATGATCTGCTACCCTGCCACATATTCTCCTCCTATGAGGTGCCCAGCTGGGACTACATCTCAACTGTATAGTGCACTCAGTATTTACGTTTTTATTGCACTAAATCTCAAATCCCTCTGGAGGTGTCGACAATATATGGAAATATAGTGGGGTGGATCCATAAAATGGTCTTACCCATAAATGTACATTTCTTTTTATTTTTTTTTACCAAAAACTTTTGTCCAATGTGACATATTACAAACAAGTATATGACTGCAGTCAAATACATACACACACAGACAAACTCAGAAGGTTCACTTACTGTTCGGCTGGCTTAAATGCTAGATCTCAATCATTTTTAAATGTAGTATGGTCGTTGGTGATTCAAGCCAATCAGATACTGTTGCCTTCCTTTGAATTTCATATACTACAGTGTCTAGAGTTTATAAAGGATGGTGCAATAGGCACGCAGGCAGCCACAGTACTGTGGGTAAAAACTCGCTGTTAATGAGAGAGGTCAGAGGAGAATGGCCAGACCGGTTAAAGCTAACAGGAAGGTCACAAAGTGCAAAAAAAAAGCAGTTAACAGTGGCGAGCAGAAAGGCTTCACTGAACACACAACTCACTCACCAAGCCCCGCAGTGATTCGGGGGGGTCCTACCTGGTAACATGCAGGGACACCTAATAATAATACTACTGTGGGCATTGGGTGTAAGTGTTCAGCTGAATACATGCATGAATGAAAATAATATTTGATATCTTCTATATTCTACATCTAGTCATGTGCAAGTGCAGTATTACTTTGCATAAAGAGACCTGGTTCATTCAACAAATAAACACAACGTTTAGCCCAGCCTACATAGCATTTAGCTTCTGGTTTAATTATTGTACAAGTTTGTGCAATCTAGTAAAAATCCAACTAACCAGCATAAGGTATTTCTGCATTAACTTCCTGAAAACCATGGCAACAAGACAGGATACAACAGATACAGCTAAGGGGGGGAGCTGGAGGTTTGTGATGGATTGTATCCAGCCCACAATCATCAAAAAGCATCTGCTGTCATAGATCTGGTACTACTGAGAGGAAACGTGCCGTAGGTTCTCAAACCCGTGGGTCACACAGCCTTTCATTGGGTAGACAGTACCAGCGTTTCCCAATCCAATCCTTGGGGACCCCAGAGCACTCCATGGAAGTTGGGAGGGAGCAAAAATGTGGACCGTCTGCGGGTCCTCGAGAACCAGGTGGGGAAACACTGGTGCAGACCACAGACCACTAAATGCTTATTTCGGTGAATGGCGTCAGATTGTCCAGCAGCTATTAAAAAGCAGGATGGATCAAACGATAAATGGCGGTTCCAGCAATAGCGCGCATGGTGTGAGAAGCTAAACTCTTGGCATTAGTTCAGCCAAACTCCTCAGGAAGGCCAGCTCTATCAAAGGACTGACCCCAAACCCACTGGGTGCAATGGGATAGAAAAGGAAGTTCGCAAAACTGAACAACATTGTGAACAATTCAACCCATATGTGTCGGGGGGTGGGGAGGTGGGTGGTGCTATTCAATTCAATTCAATTTTATTTGGATAGCACATTTTCACATTACATTGTCTCAAAGTGCTTTACAGCATCCCTGCCCAAAGCCCCCAGTGAGCAAGTCAGAGGTGACAGTGGAAAGAAAAAACTCCCTAGAAGGAAGAAACCTTGGAAGGAACCAGACTCAAAGGGGGAGCCCATCCTCCAGGGGGCGGCAGAGGAAGTCAGATGAGCAAGATAGAAAGTTCCAGTTCACACTGTCCCAATTTTAACATCTGAGTCTCAAAGGTGGGGGGCAGGCAGGTGATGGCAGGCAGGTGCTGGTGCTGCTTCTGATGGCAGGATGAACAGCAGGGCGTTCAGGAGAGACCCCACAGGCAGAAGGGCGAGCAAGTCGGAAAGACACCACAAGTATTGGAGATGTCGCAGGCAGCAGGGCAGGCAGAATATCTTTATAATTTGGGATCTCCAGGTAGCATCACCCAGGAGGGGTAGAGGAAATACAATGTGCAGTTAGCTAAAGCATGGAAGACTAGAGACAGAGCAAACAGTTAGGCGAGTGCAATCTGTAAGCTCTGGAACATATAGCTATGGTAGCATAAGTAGGAGGGAGAGACAAGTGGGAACGCAGGCATGGGGAGTCCCTGAAACGTCAGCACTCCAATTCCACAAGGAGGTGTGAAGCTAGAGTGACAGCACTGACAGTTCAGTTCATCCAAACCAATGGGACCGATTCCCACCCTGCTCCACACCTCGCACTGCAGGTCTAACTGGGAGCGAGCAGTTAGCTAGAGCTAGAACTAGAGTCCCTAAAAGCTAGACTAAATAAGTGTGTTTTTAGTCTAGACTTGAA